GACTTGGCAACACAAATATTTAAAAAAAAAAGAAGGAAAAAGACAATTATTGCTTTCAAGAATCTTACAACCTAATGTGGGAAGACAGCATGCAAAAGAAACTGAAAAGCAGGTGGAAGGAGGGAGGGTGCAACATGGGAGCATGATGGAAAAGTCTGACCTGGGCTCCTTCCTTAAATGGAGGTTTTGGACTTTTGGACCCGCTCTGCAATCAGAAGGTTATAGGGTGTTGATGGGATGTTGCAAGATGATGAGGAAATTTGGATTTTAAGGAAGCATTTGAAATTACCTTGTGAACAAGATGGAGAAATAGGGTGACAGAATAAAGATTCAAGATATTAGTTCATCTTTTAAGTCAGCCAAAACTAAGCAAATGAAAACTAAGAGGAATAAATAGAAAATCCTGTACTTAGTTTCAGACCATCAACAGCATAGGTACAGGATAGAAGAAACCTGGCTTACTAGCAATTCATATGAGGATGACTGTTTAAGTTTATTCTTAATTTGATTATAAATCAGTAATATGATGTGGCTAACCAAAAAAGTAGTACAAAATTTAGCCTGAATTAATATTTCTATTCTCCAGAACAACTGGTCAGACCACATCTGGTCTTGTTATCTTTTCTGAGTGGTCAGCAAGCATTTTAAGCTCGTGCTGCAAGCCAGCCACTTTGAGAAGAGTTGGGGATACAGAGAAAGACAAAAACAGTCCTTGCTCTCAAGAAGCTCCCATTCTAATGGGGGGACAACTTGCTAATAATTGTAGGTTCGGGGTATATGCATTGTGCCAATAAAGTGAAGGCATTAGCAGTAAGAAGGACCAGGAAAGATTCAAATTCCAGAAGGTGGAATTTTAGCTGAGTCTTGAAGGAAGCCATGAGGGAGCTCTTAGCACAGTGCCTGGCACATGGTAGGCACTTAATAAATGTTTCTTGACTTTAGTGAAGATGAGAAGGGAGAGCATTTCAGGCTACAGCTAGTGGAAATACTAGGAGTCTTGAGATAAAGTTTCATATGCAAGGAAGCTGGTGTTGTTTGAGGTTGAGAATGTAGAGGGGACTGAAGTATAAGAAACTGGAAAAGTAGGAAAGAAAGGCCAGGTTGTGGAGGCCTTTAAATGCCAAGAGAGCATCTTATATTTGATCCTAGAGGTAACAGGGAGTTACTGGAGTTTATGGGATAAGGGGGGGTGGCATAGTCAGACCTACTCTTGAGAAAAGTCACTTTGGAAGCTGAGTTTGAAGGGAGAGAGACTGGAGGCAGGGAGACCTATCAGAAGACTGTCAAAATAGTCTAGGTTTGAGGTGATTAAGGGATTGCACTAGGGGAGGGCGACTGTCAGTGAGAGACAGGGATGTAGAAATGGTAGACATGATAAGGCTTTGCTACAGATTGGAAATGTGGCGAGTGCAAGGAATTCAGAGCGTGTTGAGAAAGGAATGTAAGAGGCTAAGGTTAGGGAAAAAATAATGGGCTCCTTTGGACCTGTTGAGTTTAGATGCCTATAGGAACTTCTAGTTCATTTTGAAGAAAAAGGCAAGTTCACGTAGTCAACCATCCACCCAGGCCAGCTTGCCTTGTTAGCACTTCTGCTTTGTTTTTCCCCACCTGGACCAGAACCTGCCATCCTAGACTTTTAGAATTCACAACCTTAATTCCTGGGAAAGTTCATCTGCTCATCTTTGGAGCTCTCTTCCTGAGGAGAAGCATCTCTGCAGATGAGGATTTCTTGAGTGTCAGTGGCTAGTCCACTTAGATCTAACTGACTCTAGACCAAACAGTTCTTCCCATCTAGCCATGCACCCAGGCCATCCCATGTTATCTCCTCCCTCACTTTGTAGCTATTCTTCTGGATACAGTCATCAGATCAGTTCATGCTGCTGCTTTAGGAAAGGGTTTGTTAACTGTGTCCCTGTGACTCTCCATCCTCACAGCACTTCTGGGTTGCTTCCTTCTCTCAGAGTGTAAGCTGATGGAGTGCACGGACTGTCTGTCTCCCTTTTTGTATTGGTGTTCTTAACACACTATATGGCATATAGGAAGTGCTTGCTAATTTTTAAATTTGGTAATTCAGGATGTGTTGTTAGCTCAGTTGAGTGGGGGGTACTGAGAATCCAAGTGTTCTCTCCATATAGGAGTGCTTAGCTTTCAACTTCATGACCATATGCTATATCTTTTTCTCTGACTGACTATCTTATAGTACATTCCTGTGGATCACGAGGTAAGTGGATCTGGTGAGGTGCCTAAGTAAGGATATATAGTTGTTTCAGTGTGTTCTATCACCATAATTTTTGGGAGAGCATTTAGGAAGGAGTTAAAAAAGCATGCCATTCCAATCAAGAATCAATAGTGTCATGGCTAGTATGGAAATGTTTTGTGTCATTTCACAATATAATGAGTGGTATCATATTGCTTGCCTTCTTAATAGATGGGGGGGGCTGGAGGGAGGGGAAAAATTTGGAACTTAAAAATAAAAAAAGAATTAATAGTGTTATCCTTATACTGGAATGAAAGCCTTTATTTAAAAATTGTATTCCAGGTTAAGAGGTGTTCCCATATCGTATGAAGAATGCTGTTTGTTTAAGCCTAACCAGTTGGTTTTTTTCGTAGTTGTACTTTACACAACTGAAAGTGTAAATGAGTTTATTTTAAACAATTAAAAATTACATCTTGGCAAAATATAAGTATGGAAAATATTTGTTTATGAAATTTGAGGATGTTAAACAATGATTTGTAATATGTATGTAATGATTTATTAAAAATAATTGTAGGCTTTTTAGCCTAAAGTTTAAGGACTAACCTTAAGAATCAAGTCCCTTACCCTCTGAAGCTATTTTAAAGGGATTTTGTAGATGAGTACTAGTTAGGGGATGAACAATCGTTTTTCTTTGTTATTACTATTATATTTAGATTTTTTAATTTAGTATTTTATCTTTCCCAAGTTACATGTAAAAACAATTTTTAACATTCATTTTTAAAGCTTTGAGTTTCAAATTCTCTCCTTCCTCCCTCCCCACCCCCTTGTTGAGAAGGCAAGCAGTTCGATATAGGTTGTATATGTGGAGTTATGCAAAACGTTTCCATAATAGGCAGAACAATCATCACAGGCAATAAAACAACTGTCTTGGATGACATTGGTAGTTGGGTTAACTCTTGCATGCCTTAAGTTGTTTTTTCCCCTGTTTTGTCACTATTGTGATTTTTCATTAAAAACCTATTATAAGTTCTTTACTGTAATATATTGTGGTGCTTCAAAACCATCTTTGGTATAAATTAGTGAATCCTTGGGCTACTTTATTGTTCAAGTATTGGTTTCATTGTGTTTAAACAGATAATTTATATTTATCTTTCATTGGTGGAAGATATGTAGTTATAAAATATTAATGATATAAATACATGTTCTTAGACATTTTTTCTGTGCTATTAAAATGTAATGGTAATAGGTTTTTTTTTTTACAGTGAATCAAATGATATTTAAGTGGAAGGTAATTGGTATTTAAGTTTCTTTTTATTTTTAGTCAGCTTATCATATTTATTTTTTAATCCTCTCAACCACAGGATACAATTCATAGGACTTATTTGTAAGCATTCACAAGTTCATGTGGAGTTTCTATGGAAAAAACTCCTACAAGCCATCAAAGAGCCCACATGAAGGCCTCCTTGGGCTTCCCAAGCTCATGTGCGTTGTGCAAAGGGAGATGTGAAATCATTGCCTGAGAGAGGCACTTGGAAAAGTTTTCTGAGGACTTATGTCAGGCTATGATAGAAGTTGGTATTTCAGTCGATTTGTACAGTTGCAGCCACCGTCGTGTGAATCTAGATTCTGGACTTCAAGTCTCCAGTGCTTCACATTCAGTCAAGAAAAGTCTGTCATGATTGCAGCACGTGCCGTTTTCAAAGTGCAGACTGTGGAAGGATTGAAGATAATAAAGATCAGTTTAAAAATGGAAAAAAAAAGGATACTTTTAGGCTCTTTGGTTCTTGGAGAAGTTGAAGCTGTAGATGTTTATGATTCGTGCATGAAGGTCGTGGATATTTGTCTCTTGCCAAAGTTGTCAGGGTTGTAAGTAGAGTACTGAAAGCTAAAATAAACAGCAAATTCTACTTTGTGCCAATTAAAATTCACTTTAAAGCAGCATTTCTGTTTTTCTTCACTGAATGCATTTCATTGGTGAGTATTACTAGAAAATTAACTAGGAACAAGAAGTAGTTAATTGGTGGAATTCAAAAAAATTATTTGCTTTATTAAAAAATAAAGAGAGCAGTGTTTTGTAGTTTCCGTAAGGATGTGATATTAACAGTAGGAATTTATCCAAAAAAATCTGCTTCTTGTAGCTTGCTTTAGTATTTACATTTTCTGTGAATAATGTTTGATGTTTATTTTTGCCTACTTTTGAACAAATTGTTAGAGCAATACTTCTGAAGACTTGAAGTATACTCAGTTGCTATTGCAAGGTCCTGGAATAGAAAGATAATTCTTAATACTGCAGTGATTGATAATGGAAGTTTAACAAATTGCATTAGCATAAACAAACTGTTCAAATAAAAACACAGTCAGTTTTTCACGCTATTGACCCTGGTGTTGAAATAGCATAAATACATTTGGTTCATTTTTAGAAGAGGAAAAGCTAAACTACACTGACTTGATATAGAAAACTATTTCCTTATAATTATTTAATCTTATAATTCAGTTTTCTGCTAATATTTTAGAAAGGTTTAGGCAGAAACTGCATTGTCATTGTCCTTTTTTGGTATTTTGAGTTGGAATTGAAGAAAGGCAAGTGTTTCCCCTATCTGCTGTTCTCTGACCCTGTCTGTGTTGTAGTTATTGGCTTGGAAGATTAAGGAGCCTTAGAAGAAAGTGATTGGCTGTAGAATAAAGAGCAGCTTAGTAGTGTTCATCTCTGTAAAGCCCAGTGACCTCAATCAGACATGTACTTGGAGGCCCTGGGATATTCAGGAGATTCACTACATTACTGTATTGAAAACAAGAACAGTCCTTATATCTTACTATGGAGAGAGTATACCTGGAAAAGAAGGAACCACCTGTATGTACATAGCTTGGGGAGTGGGGTGGTGAGGGAGGAAGGGATGGAAGGGGAGAAAGAGAGAGAGAGAGAAAGAGAAAGAGAGAGAGAGTAGGAGATCTTGATTTTCTTCTTTTTTTTCTTCTCTTTCCTAAACATATCTTTGAATGTTTAGTAGTAAAAAGTGAAGAAAAAGCCAAGGCTATCATGCTTTGTGTCCTTGGCTGTGCAAGTAATCTCCAAAAAAATGAATAAATCTTGTATCTAGTGAGCAATGTTTGTAGTATCTTTATTAGACTGTAAAATTAATAATGAATAATTGCAACTTATATAACAATTGTTCTTATTTCTTTGACCAAAATGGTACAGAAAAGATAATTGTAAGATTTTAGGTTTTGAAAATAATTTGGTCTTTGCCAAGCCATGTGACCCACATGGTTTTAGCCATCAGGGGCATTTAGGGGCCCCAAAGTTCAATTTTTTTGTGACTGTAGACTTCACTTGCTAGTTTCATGTAATTCAAAAAATGAATTTGTGATATGGGTGATTTCTTGAACTATTTTGTTAAGCTGAGTTTTGTGATCTTTAAGATGCTGACAGTGCAGGATTTGGTATATTAACCTTAATCAACTTATTTTGGTGAAAATAATAACTCTAGAATTTTATTTTTTAAAGTAGGGCATATGCTTTAGAGCCTTGCTGTTTTTCTCATTTTAATTAGTCTCATACTGCCCTATTGGTTACTTGTCTGAGGTTAACCACAAAAGTGTTTAGCTGTCAGGTATGGAGATTTCTTCTAGCTATTTTTAGTATTCTGTTTATGTGCCTAGTGCTATAAGAATGAAAAAGAAAAGCACCTTCTCTAGTTCCAAGTTTAAAAATAACCATAACATACTGTTAACAAATTGAAATGTGAACTTACCCTTAAATAAGTAATGCAGTTTAAAATTCAAGGCCATGAACTATACCTGTATTGTTTCTATATGAGTTTTTTTAAGAGAAATTGATACATTGTAATTAAGTAAAGGACATAGATTTCTTTTTGGTAGAACTAGGAATACAAAGTAATTTCCTTTACTCACGTTCCTTCATTCTTTTCCATTTTAAGTCAAATGTTTTATAATATAGCCATGTGTCTTAATGCTTCAGTCACGTATGGTTATTGCTTTATTTTTATATTCTAATACTCCAGTGGAGCTGAAGTATAGCCAAGTGTTGCTCTGGTTAAGAGTGCTGGACTTGGAAGTCTTGAAGACTTGAATACAAATCCTGCCTCAGATACTTTTTAGTTGTGTGATGCTTGGCAGGACTCAGCCTCTGTGTCTCAGTTTCTTTCTCTCCGGTTCTTGTGAGGATCAAACGAGATATCATATCAATCATTTGCAAACCTTAAATCACTGTATAAGTGCTGTTCAGTTGTTTTTCAGTCCTGTCTGACTCTCTGTGACCCCATTTGGGTTTTTCTTGGCAGAGATACTATAGTGGTTTTTCATTTCCTTCTCCAGCTCATTTTACAGATGAGGAAACTGAGGCAAATGGGGTTAAGTCACTTGGTCAGAGTCACATAGCTAGTAAGTGTCTGAGGCCGGATTTGAACTTGGGAAGATGAATCTTCTTGATTCCAGGCCCAGTGCTCTATCCACTGTGTTACCTAGTTGCCCGTGTAACTGCTCACTATTATTAATATCATTGTGGGGGTATTGCATCCCAGCTTTGCCTGCCCATCCTGTGTAACTTATCTATATCTTCTCATAAATTTGGTGCAGGGGGTCCTCCTTGCTTTCTTACAACCAATGGGGGATATAGGCTGTCTAGTTCACTGCATGATTGACCTATTTTTTTTCCTAGTTGTGCGTTTCTCTCATGTCTTTTTATGCTGTACCTGCTGTGTCCCAAGTCTTGTGTTAGGCATTGAGGATATAGATAAAAAAAAAAACCTGTCTACCTTCAAGACACTTACTGGAAGAAATCAGATAAAAGAGATTTTTGACTTGTCTAGGATTACATTGACCAGTAAAATTTGGGCAAGAAGCCAGATCTAATAATTCCCAAGTTCAATGTTCTTTCCATTATGCTGTGATGTTGATATAATTTTATGTACACTTTATAGTACATTAAGCTAATGGATAGTCAATGTACAGTATATTTTTGCCCATTTGCAAGGATTTGCATAATTTAAAATTATTTTTATAGTTCGTAAGTGCTGTATTTATATTTGTGAAATTTTAAAAAACTGGTTTAAGGTCAAGTCCTCATTTAGAAATGCATTTCTCGATTATGATAGTTATTAAAACATTTTATTTTTTATTCCAAAGTTACCAAATAAATTGATATATAAAATATAAGAGAAAAAGAGAATTGTACATGAAACCATGAATCTTAAATATATACAGCTTCCTTTTTCTTTTAAGTATATAAATTCAGTGTTTTTCCAGGCTATATGACATAGTTCTTATGGGGGAAAACATTTTTTTTGAGGGGAGGAGTGTTATCAGGAACTCAATGCAGAAATGACTATAAAAGAAAGCTGCACCTGCTCTAGAACTTGGAACCTAAGTGATGTGCTTGGGGTTGTTGGGTCATTTCATCTGCTTCTGTGTCAGAAGTAGTTATTGAACCCAGAGCTTCCTGATTCAGAGGTTGGCTCTATATCCACTACACCGCAGTGGCTCTCAAAAAACATGGTTATGGATAAATAAATAAACTGTATGCCAATATACACACAAGTTATCTAATAGATCTAAGTAATTTCAAGAAAGGTTCTAACAATTAGGGGAAGCAGGTGTCAGAAAATGCCTTGTACAGTGCCTGCTGCATGCCAGAAATGACACCTGAAGGAGGCTGGGGATTTTATAGGGTAGAAGTGAGGAGGGGCAACATTCCAGACATTGAGCCACCTGCCCCAGAGGTATGAATTTAGATAAAATCTTGCCCTCAGGGAGCAGCTCAAGCCAGGGGGAGTGAAGCAGTATGTGAAAGGAAGGGAGGCAGGCAGGATCCCTGTTGGGAACCCTTCCCAGGCCAGGCGGAGGTATCTATATTTTATCCGTTAGGTGAAAAGAAGCTGTTGAAGATTTCTCTTGGAAGAAGGATGGCATTACGTTTAGAGTTTGGGCTCTTGGCACCTCCTTGGAGGTGAAAATGAGGGCTCAGGTTGTGTTAATAGCTCTAATTTTCAGGAAGGTTTTCGTTTTTTGAGATGAGATTTGTTTTCCTCAAATTTAAATCTAACAGATACTATGCATCTATTATGTACTAAGGCATAAAGATGGGTGTTGGGATCACAGAGACCCAAGCAAAGCAGTGACTTTCTTAAAGTATATATTCCAAAACATGGATACAGATTTGAAAAACAGATCAACAGGTAATGTGAGAAGGAAGAGAACCCTAACAACTGGAAGAATCAGGACAGACTTCCATGTAGGGGAGGGTACGTGAACTGAGCCTTGAGTAGAGATGGAGATCTTAAGCTTTGGATGGAAACATTGAGTGGGTTGGAGAACAGCCTGTCTGAAGAAATGGAGATGGAAGGCCAAATTGGACAAAGAGCCGAGAGCAGGTCCCTTTGGCTGGAGCACGGAGTGCATGAAGAGGGAAAGGCGGAGAAGTATAGCTGGGGTCTGTGTTCTAGAGAGCTTTAAAGCCAGGTTTGCGAGTTTGTATCAGCAGGTCTTAATCTGGGGTCCAGGGACTCCCAAGGGTGCATAGATTAAAGGGGAATTAGGAACTAGGATGAGAAATAAATTTGCATCTTTACTTTTATGAATATCTAATTGGATTTTAACATTTCTTTCAATTATGAATTAAAAATTAATCTAAGGAGTCCATAGGCCTAGGTAGATTACCAAATGGTTCTGTGACCCTAAAGAGGTTAAGAACCCTGGATTAGATGCAATAGAATATCAGTGGAGATTTTTCAACGAGGGAATGATGTCCTATATGTGCCTTAGGAAGATTATTTTTGCAGTTGTGTGAGAGATGGGATCTGAGGGGGGGAGAAGTTGGATGTAGTTTCTCTTTCATTAACTTTTTGCACACTATCCTTTATATCAGATAAAAGCTAGCCGTTGTTAGCTAGTTTTGAAGGAGTTATAGAGTGTTGAATTGGTAGGCAACTTAGAAATTTGGAAATACAGAGTAAAATCCTCTACAGCAGGAGTGTCAGACATGTGGAACAAAATAAAAATACAATCGAATACAGATAATATGTGGTTTTCTAAGTCAGTGTGTGGCCAGAGGGTTTGGTGGTCCCTTTTCTATTTGAGTTTGACAACTTGGGTTCAGGGTCCATGATGGCAAAATTCCAGAGTGTCAGAACCTGATTAAAGTGCCGCTGGGAAATGTTTTTTTAACAGAATAAAAATACAGTGTAGATAATGTTAATTTGTGGTCTTCTAAGTCACCAGGAATCTGTTTGTATTTGTTTGGCACCACTGCTCTACAGTGTACCTAACAAGCGATCATTTTGCCTCTGCCTAACGCTTGTCTTAATGGGAGGCCTTCTTAAGGCAGTTGGTTGGCTAACTCAAAAACAAGAGCTGAAAGTTTATCATATTATCTTGGCTATTATTAGTTCAGGAAGAATCAGTGGCCTGTTGAAAAAACCTTTGCATTTTAGCTGCGTTGAATTGTAGGGGTGACTTTTAAATAGGTAATGTGATACTTTTAAATTTACAAAGAAATCCTATGAGATAAGAAATCCCAAATTAGAACTATTTTGGTAGAAATTGGGGGGTTAGGTAAATGGTTATTTTTTCACCCAAAATATTTATAAGGGTAAATCAGAAAGCCCTGAAATAGATGTGAGATTGATATTTGCAGATAGTATTTTGCAGCTATTGTAAAGGCACTGATTTTTCCTGCTCTCAATTTCTTTAGTAGCTATCATTTATATAGAAATGCTTTCCATGTTATCTTATTGGATTCTCCCAGCTATCCTGAGAGGTAGATACTATTATTATTCCCATTTCACAGATCAGGAAACTGGTCTGGAAAAGGTTAGGTCACTTGCCTAGGGTCAC